TGTCCTTGAATGATTTTAATATTGGCATTTATTATGTTTTTCCACATGTTTACCAATTATTGTATTGTGTTGTGTTACATAATTATCATTAATTAATAAATTAATTGTCCAAGTATCATTAATTAAGTGTGAAAGTGTGAAACTTGAGATCGTAATCAGGCGGTGTGTAGATTTAATATATGGATATATGTATGTCTATACTAACTGACTTCTATTATCTGATATTGTCTAAAACATTCCGATGCATACATAGAAGGTAAATTAAAAAAAAAGAACCTTCGGACCAAAACAACAATTAAGAGGATCTTTAAATTTGAAGTTAACGAAAAATCGAATAATTTACACTGATACTTAGCTGTTACCATTTGCTATATTCCTTGTAGGATGTACCACATGTTCTGTACCATATGTAAGAAAATCTATAGATAGGACATGATACTCCAGATATATTTATTTACTAACCCGCTTTCTCTCATGCAAGTTTAAAAAGTGAAGTAATTGGGGCCAGATCCTAAAGTTGCCAGAATTCAATCCGCTACTTTGATAGGCTGTGAAGGTTTTTATTGAATAGCTTTACTTTTATTTCAACTTTTTATAAATATTTTAAACATATTTATGTATAAAACTTATACGTGAAATAGACATATAAATTATAAAAGTTACAAGCCAATTTTATATAAAATAAGTTTGAAACTTTTCATTTAATAATCTTCGTGACCTTTAACGAACCATGTACTACAAATTGAAATATCCTCAAAGTAAATATCATATGACTCTTTCATAAAATGTAAAAATATTTTATATTTTCTAATGTTTATTGTAGGAATATGTATAATGATATTTTGTACTAACTGTTGCCTGCGGATTTAGACATATTTTAATCCTCCTTAAAATACATCTTGTCATACTTGAAATTTCATAACATTTTTCGATTTCTTTTTAGGCAGATCTTGACTTTTTGAAGATAGATCTGCCTCAGGTAATTGCGATTAAAAAAAATTAAATTAAATCAACCTTGAATTACAGGAATACTATCCAGAATAATAATAATATAGAATAAGCATAATGTTTATGTACCACAATTGAGATCTTCACTTTTTATGAAGTCGGTTAAAAAGTAGTTAAGTTACTTCTTACAATACTTACCTGCGAGCAAAATTCTTGAACCCGGATGAAATAAACACAAATATTTGGATTAGTTATCGTATATACATCATAATATGACATCAGACATCGTCTGATGTCATATTTGGTTAGTGAAGAGTTAGAGTTTGAAATTATAAACAGATCCTTTAAATTATTTTATGAGTGTATAATGCTCTTAGTTATATAAATTTGTTCAAAAACTCTTTAAAATCTTCTTCGAAACCTAAATAAAAGAGTAGTAGGTAAGGTGCTCACATCAATATGTGTCATTCAACATCATCAACCAATGTTGGTGACGAGACGTCGGTACATACAACAACGGGGGGTAGCATATTGACGGAGCTGTCGAATGTAGGCTTGGTAACGTCTTCAAAGGGGCAAAAATTGATCTGAAGGTCGCAATTTGCACATAAATCACATGTCTGGACAATCTGTCTTTGCGGATGCCCAATGCCAAAAAACTACAGATTCTAGAAACTATGTAGGTTCGTACTCTTAACAGTAGAAATCCGTTTTCGGAATATTTATAGTAATATTCTATTACTGACTGGCTCTTTGGTACATATATTGGTATACATTATTTTATACGAAATGTTGCATTTTTGAAATGGTTATAAAGGTATTACATAAAAAACTTATTTTAGTAACTTTTTTTATTTCAAAAATATTTAAAGACACAATTTAGTTTTAATTATAATTATGGTTGTAACTACACCTACCATGTTTTTAGGTCAAAATAAAATTGGAGTAACACTTTGAATGCTTTAGCCGCAGTAATTAGTTAAAGTAAATGCTTCGTAATTGCTATCATAAAAAATTAAATGAAATAAAGCAATTGCATAGCTTTGAAAATTATCTACCGTATTTATATTACTTTATTTTTAACTTATAAAAATCTCTGCGTTAATATCTAAAAATGATGAAATAAAAACATTCGTTTATATTGAACTCTCATTTTCCATGTTCCAAACTTCAGTTTCCACTATCAGACACCAAAATCAATATAAAATGCAATATATAGTTATTTATTTATCAGCATATAAGTTTTTAAAGACATGAGTAACAAAATTTCTTAATTTCCTGGTCAAAAGTTCTTTTGAATTAAAAATAAATTATAGTTTTAATTTAAATATATCCGGAAATCCCTAAGGTAAATAAAAAATTTAAATTTACTATTTTTTTATCGCAAAGCAAAAAATATTTCACTCAGTCAGTCAGTATACTTTTCATGACCCAGAAATCCTTTATATTGTCCCACAATTTTATTTCCATAAAAAGTCACAATTCGTGAGTTGTGATAAGAAGTGAATGAATGACATAAATAGGTATGTTTAATTTCAACATGTAGGGACCTAAGAATAATTTGAATGATTTCAGTTTATTTGTATTGAATAGTAAGCAAAGAGAAGCGAGATTGTTGAAAATTGAAAGCACTTATTCTAGATGAAGTAAACTCTCAGCGGAGGTGAGCTCAGTTACGCTGCAATACATCAAATATGTTTTCCCTCTAGATCTTATTAAAAAGCATAAAACAGAAAAATGGTCTAGGTTACACTTCTATAGAGGCAGAATTTTCAAATATTATTTTGCTTACAAATGAACTTTTATTTTTTTTTATTTGTAATAGCCATGTACCTATATTGAAGTAAACTTGAGATCATGTATCGCTTACCTAGAAAGTTTTAACGTAATATTCGTTATAATATATTACATAATTTTCGTTTCTAAATTTAATTCATTTTCTACATTATTGTGTTTTCGAATTTTTGACATCAGCGGATAGCAATAACATTGTTATGATAATATAAGTATAACAAAATTTTAATTAATAATTCAATTTATCAACTATACATTTATATAAACTCTCTTTTAGGATATTTGAGTTTTATTGTAATTCAATAATTAAATGGATATTAAGTCAAAGTTCTGCAATGAGCTTTTAACCCAATAACAAAAGGGTAAATTTAATTACTAATCCGGCAGACATTTGCAGAGCACATCTTGTATATAATTGATTTTGGATCCACTTTATTTTCCTTTTTAATACTTTTAGGTGAATAAAATAAAAACAATAACAATAGTTTGTTAACAAAGTTTGTCTCATAAAACTCACTGTTACACGAACTGCTCTAAAAAGTACAATATTATTGTGAATGGTTTCGGTTTTTTTCTTAGGGTAATGAGATTTTAAATAAGAATTACATATATACTATGTGTATTCAGTATGCACAAAAAGAAGTAATGAAAAATTAAACATCTTTTGTACTGCATTCATAAATACTGCAAATGATCAAAGTTTTATTTACCATTAAGAAACAATGTTAAATGATAAGGATTTAAATAAAAGATTTTTATTTTATATTTATTTATTTAATAATCTCCATTCACTCGTCACTATTGGTCCAACACACACACCATAATGTACATTTCACCGATTACGAGTGTCACTAGCAGAATTTAAGATCTTTACGTTAAAATATATTGAACAACGACTAATTTCAAACTAAGAATATTTAATTTTATCTTGATAGGAACCGGCGAGGATAAGATGAACATTTATTAGATGATAAAAACATCGATTTGATATAATTGTTATTACTAAAGACTTTTTTCCTTGTCTTTAATCTCACATATGGTTAATGCTCTACTTATAAGATTACATATTTATTTAATATCAATTAAGAAACGTCTATTATTGATAAAACATCAAAACTTGTCTAGCGATTAAGTTTGTACACAAACAAATAAATTTCAAGTAAAATGAGAGCCTTCGCGGTATGAAATTAAAAAATTATTTTTTTCAAAATTATATTCATCGTTCTGGCCTGATCTCATAGTGCACAAAAATATATAATTTTATTATTCTTTTTCGTATTTTTAACATAATTAGAAGTCTGCAAGTGTTTTTGTATTTTAATATTATATGTACTTTGTTTAAGTTGATTGATCTTAAATTCTCCTAAACTGTAGAATAGTTTATTGCTATTTACATTTATACAATGACAAAGACTATTTCTTAAAACTATAATTTAAAGTGATAAAATTTTTGCATTATCCTTTTAATTGATCTATATAATGAAAAACTGCTATTATTTTTTTTCTAAAGTGTAGACCACATCTAGCAATTTTGGTATAGTATATTAAGAAATAATTTTCGAGATGCTATTCATGAAATATGTGATACATTTGAATTATATACCAGACTTACAAAGAATATGAAAAACATAAAAGAAATATGCTGCTAGATTGGTCCACACTTTGTTATAAAATTTCCTTTTGCGGTAGTTAAAGGAAGCGTATATGGAAGATTATGGATTGCAATTTTGTTTTCTCAAAAGCACCAATATTTTAATAATAATTTGATATAGTTTACATAAATAATAAACGTTATATCTAACTTATTAATTAACAAAGTTAGTATCTACAACTTGATTCCGATTTAGATGATTACATGTATGGTAAATTAATTAGTAGTCTAACTTAAAGTGAAATAATATAAAGAATCATATAAAAGCCGGTATATAAAATGGACGCCGACTTTAATACATTTTTAAATATAAATTTAAATATTTTTTTGACAAAAAATTGGAGAGATACTCCTTTGATTTCATTCTACATATAATTAACTATTGTACAATATATATTTTAGCTGTCTCTTAAAAATAAATTTGCTTAACAAAAATGCAGTTTATTGTTAAAATGTCTAAATTAATCAAATTATACATATTTTTTTAAACATTAACATTAAAAATAATATTATAATTGATGTGGCTCTTTGAAACAATGAAGTTTTTGGATGTTTTTTTTTAAATTTTCATCCAATTCATATATTACATCTACTTATCTATTTGAAGTTACACTTGTGTAGCATTTTCAATAGTATTTAGAAATGTTTCTTTTACTTCCCCGGAATGTCTCTTCCTTGTTTTTGGTGGAGGATTCATCATATTTCGTGATTTGCTCAATGTACTCGCAACATTTACACTGTAACCTATTCTCAAGTCTCTACTCGAAGTCTTCAAAAGGCTCTCGCTATCTGTAAGGGTTACTTTAGAGTGTCTGTTTTCTAACGAACTTCTTAGACTTCCATTTGACATAGCTTGTAGCATTAATAGCTGATTATGAATGTTTGGAGAACTCAAGCTGTTTCTTGGTATATTGGCATGAGGAGTTCCCGGGGCAGGTGATGGAGCCGGTTCTATATCGTCAGACGCATCTAGAAAACCAACTTTATTCACTGGACCTAAATCGATTTCACTTTTATTGAGGCTGTTATAATTACCTCCATTACCGAAAAACTTCATATTAAAATTATCGTAATATGGTATGACACCATTCAAGGTAGAGAAGATTTGTGGTCGGAGATTATCCTCGGGATAAGCTGATCGAGGTCTTCTAGGCAAAGTCACATATCCTTTACTTACTAAAGGTTCTTGATAGCTCGAATTATGAAGTCTAGTATAAATTGCCGTATTCGTGGGCGACATGCCGTAATTTGGTGATTTTGGACTCTCCATTTTCGTTGAGATGTGTGGCCTGTCCAAAGATATTCCACTTGCTGGTGATATTTGACTCGGGCGAGGAGGAAATGAAAGAAGATCTGGTGGGTAAGCCTGGGAATCTTGAGGTAATCGCTCCAATAGTAACTCTTTGGTATGTTTAGGAATTTCTGACTCTTTATGATTATGCCTCTCTGATGTAACTGAAAAAAAAATGGAACTATATTTTACAATAGTGAAAAATAACTGTTTGAAACATGTAAAACCTTGGTTTTGATTGAAATTATCACACTTCATTAAAATAAACTCTTAATAAAATATCCATTATATTTAACCTATCTTTAAGAACATTAAACTGATAATAATATAATAAAATATCTTTTATAACAAGAAACTTTGATTGTTTTGGCTAACTTAAATAAGAGTTAAATTAAAGAAATCAAACAAAACAATTCTAATAAAACAAAATCAAAAGCAAAATTCGGATAAAATCACAAAGTGGTTAAATGGAATTCTTCTATAGACCGAATATTGTGGAATGAAACATTTTTCTACGGACAGAACTAAATGAAACTGTTTGATATTTTGAAAATTTTGCACGGATTCCGTTGTTCTATAACTTCAATCGAGCTTTGGTACAAAAGGAGCGTAACCTCATTATTTTTTTATGGTCCAAAGCACGACAACGCTCAAAGAATGTTTCGTGAAAGTTAGCTGTCGCTTATTGTAATTTATTAGAAAAGATTTTGTGAGGCAAATATAGTTAACGTAGTTCTATAAAACTACTCTAAGTTTAATTTACTTTTTATGATTCTGTGCCACGTTATTTCTTTAACATCAGATATTTGAATATAAAAGAAAATATTCTCATTATGTTTTTACAGATATTTAAAATACACTTAAAAGTATTCAGAGGCTACTTAACTAAAAATTAATTACAATTTGTTAAAAACTTGTTTTAATATTAATACTTTGCAATACAAGACTATTTTGACCATAAAAAATATAAAAGAGAACAATTAAATGTATGTAGTATAAAGTTTCGTTTACCATATTAAATAAAAAGTTATGGGTTCCGGAAATAAACAGGGAAATTGAAAGGTAAATATTTTAGAGTTCATTTTCTGATAGGGTACCGAAGATATGAAAATATTATTACGTGAAGGGAATAAAATGTTATATGAAGCGTGATAAAATCAAAGAAGTATTTTTTTATTTAAGTAATTGCAAGAGTTTTTTAAAATATTTCATTCAAAATTATTATGTCAATAAAAACTTTTATATATTATTACTTTTTTTTTCGCTTACCCAATTTAGAGTCCGTGTCAATTAAAGTCTTTTTTATTTCGAGCATTTCTGTCGCAGTATTAGCCATAGAAGATTCATATTTACTGGATGGCTTGGCCATGGGATTAACTTCGCTTTTACACACTTTTTCAGCTTCGGACGCTACAGAGCCTTCTATTAAAGCTTCACCGTTTGATGATCGGGTATCAGTTTTAATCAGTCTTTTCAATTCGCCATTTTGTGTTGTGAAATAGCAGACGGTTAACACAGCTCCGAAGATTATGGCGACAGACAATAAACACCCAACAAGAATTGCAAAAGAATCTGCGTCCATTCCAGCTATGGTTCCTGCAGCGCCATATTTAGATAGAATAAGCGTTAAAGTCTTTTCATCCCTTCCTCCTGGATTTTCGGCAACACATGTGTAATTTCCTCTATCACTGTATCTCGTATGAAGTATGGTTAAATTAACCCATCTTATAAGATCCATTGTGTTCTCCATAACACTATAACGTATTTCGCCGAAAGATCGTATCTCAATCGTTTTCCCATTGAACCTCCACACGACTTCTGGAGGCGGATTGCCAACTACTTTACAAATCAGCGTCACGTTTTCCTCATAACTTTTGATAGTTGCGTCTGGCAGGGGTTCTAATATAGTAGGCCGACAGGCAAAGTTTGAAGAATCTAATTCGTACCAAAGTTTGTCGCGTATCGAAGCGGGTTCCGCACATACCGTCGGTGGAGTGTACAAGTTGTGAGTGATAACCCAATCTCTAAACGATTGTAAGTTGCAATCGCATCGCCACGGGTTGTTGTGCAAATCAAGTCCAGACAAGTTTCGTAACGCCATTAAAGTTTCGGGTTTCATATGACTCAAATTGTTTCCGTCTATTCTCAATATCTTGAGTTGAGGCAAGTTTAGAAATGCTTTTGTTCCAATTCGGAAGATCTTATTGTTGCTCACTTCAACTTTCTGGAGAAACTTTAAATTGCGAAATAGGCCATCTTCTAGTTTATCAATGAAATTGTTATTCAAATTTATTAATCTTAGTTTTTCTGTGCCCTTGAAGGTGTCCGGGTGAAGATATCGGATTCTGTTCTTTGATAGATCCAGTTCTATCATAATCGCGAGGGTCACAAACGCTGCCTTGTGAATTGTTTCAATATTACAATCTCTTAGAAAGAGTTTCTTAAGATTGCTCAGGCCTGCCCTTTTGAAGGCTTCTTGGTGTAGTTGTAACAAGTTATTGTTAGATAGATCTAATATCTGTATATCGCTGCTTAAATTACCTGGTACAACCCTTAAACTCGAGTTGGAACAAATAGCAGCTTTATTACCAGACTGCCACCTACAGTCACAGGGTCTTTGACATTCCGTTGTGAAATCGGCGGTACTGATTGTAAGAAATGATATGGTGTATAGAATTAGCCATGTCTTCCAACATTTGTAAGCCATTTTGCTATGATGCTGGTCATTTCTTCGTTTAGGTACATTCCTGGGAGATGTTCTTTATTCGACGCATATGTGATCTGAAACAAAATAGATTACATTATTTTAGTAATAAGTCCTAACTATAATATATAAGTTTTATATTATTTTTATAAGACGTAAATATGTTGTTATAATAATAAATAATTTCATGATATTCTTAAAGGGGAAATAACTTTTCATTACAATTATAACCTCTCATTGTTGTAATGGCAGATGTTAACTCAGTTTTATTGCGGCGACCCACATAAATTAAAACTTTAAAACATTAAAAGGGTCATGTAAACTTACAGTTCAAACTAATTGAAAATATTTATTTCAGAGGAAATCGTAGCTTTTCTTTATTTTTTATTGAACTTTTGTTCGTATAAGTTATTCGAATTATAAAACAAACGAACACACATTCCACTATTTTATCTAATTATAATGTTCATATGTATGTAAATACAAACATAAAATACATTTATATAAATAATCTTCAAATTGGTTGCTAATTTGAAATATACTTATTAGAATAACAATCTGATATTTCAAAGATCTTATATTGGTTATTAAGAGGTAATGATAATTTTTTTATGATCGCTATAAATTATGGATAAAAAGAGTTTGTTGTTGCTAATAATATGATTAAATATTTTTACTTATGTATTTTTAGATTTTTGCTAGTTTATACACATTTATAATTATTTAAATCGTATTATCTTGAGTTTAAGGAATTTCATCAACAATTTGGTATCAGCATAACGATAGCTGGCGAGATAACTTGAGTTTATCATCTTTATTAGTTCCGTTTCTTGTCTGGGTGATGTATATCCCTGATTTGGTAGGATATTACCAGCTTGGGTCAGCACATATCCGGATAAACCCCAATGATAAATCAAACTGTATTTGAAGATGTCTCTCTTAAATTTATGGGATTAAAACGCTTTTGAGAGAGAAATATACTAAGGGATGTATACGATTAAGGAAAGTAATTCATATTTTTTAATTTAAGCTGTAACTGTATTTAAATTTAAAATTCCTGTCCCAAATTTAAAATGTATGTGGCTGACGAAAAATTACGGCATTTTATTTAAATTCGAACTTAAAATCTATTTGGAGTTACGAGACTAAATGGCAAGTAGAAGTAACAAAGTAATTTTGTATTCAGATTTAAATGAAATTATGTTTTTCAGATTTACTTCAAGTATTTTATCATTTTACTTTTTACTTGAAGTAACGACCACTTTGCAGAAACCTTTGTTAAGAGATGCGAAATGAAAGTGTTTCTAGTTGGTATTTTTTTTTGTCCTTAAACTGTAGATTAACTGTACATTGTATCTTCACACATATGAACGCAGGGGACAAAATAAGCCAGAACACCCATTTTGACAAACCAATGATCGTTGTTTCGTAGAGACTATTCCAATTGGCAAACATTCGCACTTGAATATATTGACTTCAATAGAGAAGATTTTTATTAGAGATCGGGCAATTATTAAAACAAGATATTTTGCTAACAGTATTATAAAAGGCCTGAACCTCTATTTGTGGATGAAAATTAACAAATTGTTGTCGTCAGATGACAAAAATTTAGACTAACTGACAGCTACTTTCTTGGGTTCGGTTCACTTCGGTTATTGCATAGTAGGCGAAACCTTGACAAAAATGTAAAACACTTAAATTGCGTCATTAGTTTTAATTAAATTAGTAAAAAAGTTTTAATTAAGCCTAACAATAGTCTTGGAAGGCCATTGCTATAATAAAAAATGGTTGGAATGATTGTAATATTAAAAATAATTAAGAAAAAAAAATAGTTAGTTTTTACATTGTAGTCAAGAAAGGTATTCGATTAAATATAAAAGACTTTGTAAACGCCATGTGTATACAAATTAAAGTTTAATCAAAAGTAAAACTCTATAAAACAGCCATTCCATAAAAGAAACAATAAAAGAAATATACAACCTGCTTCATTTGTCCAAGTTTAATTTTATTCATACAAAAAAAAATAGGCGAAGTGTAGTATTTCAACACTAGTTAATCAAAATAATCAAAAGAGGTTTGATGAATACTTTATAAACTGAGTGACAAAATCCTTAAAATTTTAAAAAAAATCAATAAATACTGGTTTAATTATTTTAAAAATGTAGAGATATAAGTATTCTTATTATATTTGAATCACTAATACATACAAATTATTTATTTCATTGTAATCTGTTTTATAAAAAATATTTTCTTTTTTCATACAATCTAAATAGAATGTAATAATTGTAATAATAATTTCACAATGACCAAGTAGCAACAGATATAATGTGTTATGTTATTTCAGTATAACTAAGATGAAGTTACTGGTTCCACATATATACATAATTCACAGAGCATTTACATAAATTATTTTCTCGTAGATTTTAACTTTCTCTAAGTGTTGTGGTCGATCGTCCCTCTAAACGACACCACCATTACTTTAAAAGGATGAACTAGTGATACGGGTCGTGGGCTCGAATCAAACAAACCTAGGATTTGTAGTCAAATCGCCGTAACAAATGAAGTTTTAACGCCGACATTTATCAAACGGTACAAGTCCAGCCGCGGGCTGTAAAAATGAGAAATAGTCTAGCATTCATCCGGCTCAAGTTTAAAAATATTCAAAAAGAATTTAAATAATAGTGTTTTTCGTACTTTTTGACCTAATTTAGTTTATGATTACACTTTAAATTATAATTTAAAATCGAATTTAATATATTATAAGGCTGAAACCACAATCTTACTTACCAAATAGATAATTGGTGAGTAGAAGTTCTATGCCATTCATTTTCACGTTGTTTGGAACATTACATTAGAATATCACATGGTTCATGTTAATAAAAAATGTAAGCATAAGTGTAAATGTAATACATAATATTCTTTTAAAGAAAAATCAAAATGATTTAGATGAGGAAAGTGAAAACTTTCATACATTTAACATAAGTAAACTAGTGTTCTAAATGAAACAGTTTATTCAGTAAACTAAGATAATTTTATATTTAATACTTAACATTATTTTGACATTTGGTGTGACAGTTTTCATTATTATGAGTAAAGTTAAAGCAAAGAGCACCTTTACTTATATTATGAATAATATTATGACCACTTCTCTTTGATTACGTCAAGCACACTAACATTTGAAACATCTAACATATCTTAAATGGCTTGAAATATTGTTTTTATTAAATGTTTTTATACAAGTGATTTTAAATACCAAAACAATGAAATAAAATTAAGTTACTTTATTCTGAAAAACATAAATTACTACAATGTTGTTACAAACTCTTTAATTGTTTTAACTCAACTGGAACAAAAACAAGAAACAATGATTGTAAAGTTAGATTTAAGTTAGATAAGTAAATATTACTAAGAAGTCTGAATCCCTTTTAAAATAGGCCAAATCAATGAATATATATAAAATTATTTAAAGTAATAATGGAATATAGCTAACGTTAATGATTACGAAGTTTCTGAAGTCTTATGTATCTTTATCTCGATTGAATTTTAATACATTTTAAAAAGGACTAAAACTTCTTATAATCAAAACATAAATACTTCTTCTCCTTCTACCTGGCAATTTCACAGCTTTAGCCAGGCTCTGCCTTACATGTTGTGAATAGTTTTTGGCTAATTTTTTTTTACGACCGGCCGCCTGCCTGACATCAACCCTCTTTAGGAATGCATTAATCAGTGATGTCTAAATAGTCTTAGAAAGTACATATGAATCGGAAAAATCATATTGGTACTTGCCCGGGCCAGGATCGAACCCGCGTCCTCGTGCATGAAAGGCGGGCCTTTTAACCACTAGGCACCACTGACTTAAAAAAAAATACTATATTTACAAAATTTGTTAAAAGAACATTAGCTATGTTTAAATGAAATAACTTAAAAATAGTTATTTGTGTAAATTCTTCTTCGGTTCTAATTCTATTTTAGTCGCCTTAGCAGTCAAAGTAAGTAACGTTTGACTGTCGTCCGGGATCTGTTACGAGTCCAGACGGTTTGCTTTTAGAAATTAAATTTAAAATGAAATAATCATATGAAATACATTATTATAAAATTATTATTATTAAGAATAAGTATAGAAATTATTAAATATATTTACAACTGATTTCGCGATTATTGAGCGAATGCTATTTTAATAAAATATAACACAAATGCCAAAGTTACATAGCGACTCTTAGCTACTATTGATGTTACTTTGTAGTATTTAGATTGTGAATTTTTAAGAAGTTAAATTATAAATATCTTGGGTGAAGTCGTGGTTTTATTCTGGGAATATTTCAGTTTTGGCTTTTGACTTTTACTTATAAATATTGAAATTAGAAAATAGATTTTGAACACCACTATATTGTTGAAAGCTTCGCAAAATAGTATGTTTTTATATTCGACACAAAACAGTAAAACAGAGTAGTTGTAAATTGTGATCAGCTTAATTAGTTTTTATTTTACAAAATTTTTATAAAATATTTTAATATTCGTCATTATAACTTAATAATAATTCCTTTCAAGAAAAGAAAACGTCATATCAGGTGTCATATTTAGTGTTTCAGTACAATGACAATGTAATGTTATTATGTTTCACAAATTTTATTTTTGTATTTTTATAGAAATAACTTTTATTTTTAGCTAAGATTGATATTACTTTTACAACTTATTATTGCATTTGGTTATAATTATATGGTTATATGTTATTATACAATAGTTTAATTAAATAGATCTTATGAAGTCTTTAAAATTAATTCTAATGAAAACTCTTCACTATGTGACTAAGATTTTTAATAGTCTAAGACAATATGTCACTCTACGGTTGTTCTGTTTCCACAAAAAATATTCTTTGATAAAATCATTCGTCGGCTGCTTGTAACGTTTTGTTCAGTCAACTTGGGAATACCATGAAGGGTTTCCAAGTGAGCGTAATAATTTTATTTTGAATATTTCATACAGATCTTGGGATTCAGTGA